AGATGATAGATAGTCAGTAAGACTGTTGGCTATACACAGTAGGTGTTGAGATGATAGATAGTCAGTAAGACTGTTGGCTATATACAATAGGTGTTGAGATGATAGATAGTCAGTCTTCTAATAGGACTGCTCTCTATGTACCGTAGATATTAAGGTTTAGGTTACAGCCAGCAAAACTGCTGACTATATACTGTACGTGTTAAGGTGATAGTCAGTCAATAAAACTGCTGCCCATATACCGTAGGTGTTAAGGTGATAGTCAGTCAATAAGACTGCTGGCTATATACCGTAGGTGTTAAGATGATAGTCAATCAATAAGACTGCTGTCCATATACTGTAGGTTTTAAGGTGATAGTCAGTCAATAAGACTGCTAACCATGTACCGTAGGTGTTAAGTTACCCTATTGTGTAGCTTTGTGTTTAACATCTACTGAAACTGGATCTCTCTAACGACAAAGGAAGGAACTGACGATAAACGATAGAAACGATAAATCAAGACGTTTGAGGTATTTTTATGGTAAATTAGTCAATAAAACATGAACAAGTATTACCGGAACAATGCCCTCTAAATAATGAAAGGAAATAACTGGCATAAGAAATGTGGCTTGTAACCCAAAACTCTGAATCGTGTATCTGTGACAAAAAAAGACATTAAAACGTCATTATCATTGGAATAAGTAAAAATTCTTATCTTATTCAGTCTCAGAACAAGATTGGACGTCGTCAGTTTGCCCCTGAAGAAGAAAGTTCCACATTTCGAAAGCGCTCAGGTTATTGGTTTATGTACCTTTATGCTAAATTGATTTCTTGAATCTACGCGTTTTCCTGTGTATGTGTATTCACTCTTTCTTTCCCTTTCTCAAAATGGCATAGGTAAAAGCTGACATGCATACGACTTGTTATTACACTATGGTCCCTTTCTTAGCACAGATTAAGGTACAAATTATTATGTCATACTTTTAAAAGTCGTAACACCACTAAACATTTAGATAAATAATAAATTGTTGTTATTAATTTTGTTTACACAAAACGTGTCATGGCATGTCTTTTCAATCGAAAAATAACATTATTAGATAAGTTATTTACTTAATCCACTAGAATGTGTTAAACATTATAGAATTTGGTTATCAATTAAAGTGGTCGTTTTTCAATGTTCCAGGGTAAAATATTTAGGTTAAAAGTGTTGAATGGGTTATCAATGTTCCAGGGTAAAAAGATTTATGTTAACAGTGTTGAATAGGTTATCAATGTTCCACGGTAAAATATTTAGGTTAAAAGTGTTGAATAGGTTATCAATGTTCCACGGTAAAATATTTAGGTTAAAAGGGTTGAATGGGTTATCAATGTTCCAGAGTAAAATATTTATGTTAACAGTGTTGAAGAGATTATCAATGTTCCAGGGTAAAAGATTTAGATTAAAAGTGTTGAATGGGTTATCAATGTTCCAGGGTAAAATATTTAGGTTAAAAGTGTTGAAGAGATTATCAATGTTCCAGGGTAAAAGATTTAGATTAAAAGTGTTGAATGGGTTATCAATGTTCCAGGGTAAAAAGATTTATGTTAACAGTGTTGAATAGGTTATCAATGTTACAGGGTAAAATATTTAGGTTAAAAGTGTTGAATGGGTTATCAATGTTCCAGGGTAAAAGATTTATGTTAACAGTGTTGAATAGGTTATCAATGTTCCAGGGTAAAATATTTAGGTTAAAAATGTTGAATGGGTTATCAATGTTCCAGGGTTAAAGATTTAGGTTAAAAGTGTTGAATGGGTTATCAATGTTCCAGGGTAAAAGGCTTAGGTTAAAAATGTTGAATGGGTTATCAATGTTCCAGGGTAAAAGATTTAGGTTAATCAAAGCTTTATTGTTTGGATATAACCTAGACGAGGTAATTTTTCTTTTTCTTTAATTCATGAACATCGAAATGGAATTCCATTTTCTTTAGAGCTTCCAGGAATATTACTTCTTATTTGAAGTATTCTTCTAATAGCAAAAGGATTGATAACAAAAAGGAATAACGATAGCAAACAACACCAACATCTTAACTCGTTTTAGAAAAAAAAAATGTTTTGACTCAAAGTATATATTTCACCATCTTTGGATTACTTGTAACGCATAACAACGAACAATTCATCGAACCCGCCTGCCAGTAATGCGTGTATAGCAGCAGTTCTGTCAAAGAATCTTACTTGTAGCATCGGTGAATATCTCCCTCCATCACTAATAAACAAGGCCACAACAATTCATTATCATTTCCTGTTCATTCGAGCATCGGAATGTTTAAGCGTTGTTAACAACTTCACCAAATACATTCACGCTTTCCTTGCCAAATTACTTGTTGCATGGGGCGTCTGTGTAAATATCATAAACTATACGAGAGCGAATAGTTATTTCACTGTGTAAATAATGTAACAAAACGTGTATATTTTGTTCCGCTTTACTCAAACTCAATTATTAGTGTAAAAATAAAAGCCTTTAAAAAAAAAAAAGAGTATGCTGTCTTTAAAAATAAACATTACATTTGTGGAAAGAAGAATTCCAAGCGGGATAGGCTTCAAATAATTCGTATCTTGGATAACCTTTCTTCTGGCGTGATTTTACATGATAAATCTGTCGTATCACACTTGCAAGGGATCTTCCCCACAATACAGACGTATGTACTAAGTGTCATGGCGGATACTTAACACGCCCAGTCGGTCACAAAGGACGTTAAGGTACGTAGTTATATAGATGGATATTCTAAGACTAAGTAAATTATATTGTATAAATAGTAGTGCTAGTCTAGGGAAACATATCTGATTTTAACACACAAAATTATCCTCATAGATGGTGCTTTTGTTGTCTATTTTACTCAGTTATACTGAAGATCATGCTACAACTTAAAATTTTCTTCTGTAAAACTGAAGATTATGTCCCTATCCAGACAGCCAAAAATAACACGTTAACATATTTAAACAGATTGTTTTATTAAAACATTGTTTGAACAAGAAATATCGTAAATAATAGAAACAGAAACGAGAGTTAACTCTCTAAAACGTTTTGGTTTAATATTTTTTATACGATTTTAATAAATTTTCATTTTTGACTGTTTTGAGTTTCATAACAATACAGTTGAAGTATATACACAACGTGCAATTTTTGTGACTCATAATGATTTACGTAATCTGAAAAGTATTGCAACCAAAAATTGTCTCACAAATAACAATATTAGATAAACGAAGCTTTTAGAATATATATATATATATATACACACACATTCATATATATGAGTATATACAGAAATGGTCGAGAGAGATTTAGTGTTTAGCGTATCGGGCTGCGTACAAAAAGGTCAAAAGTTTGACGCATGATATGCTGATAAACACCCTCCGAACTGTCAGCTGTTGGAGAAGTATAGCCGTGACAATCAAACTTACTTTTCTATTAAGAGTAGCTGTGTGGGCGGTGATCGTTGCTTACTGGTTATCCTCTCTCTCTGGTCAGTAGTTCTAAATTAGGGATTGCTACGCCTGAGCCACGGGGATTTCTGACCTGTCCATTTAGGATAACCTAATATATGAGGGACAGTTTTCTTCATCACTGAATTGGAGTGAAATGAGAAGCTAATGCATTGACTTTATTAACCAAAAATTGAAATATAGTTTCACGTTTAGCTAGCCATTAATATTGATCAAGAATGTGTGAAGTTTGTATTTTAGCCGGTCTGCGTCACACATAAACAATAAAAGTTATGAGGGTTTTTATATTGATCAAGAATGTATGAAGTTTGTATTTTATCCGCTCTGCGTCACACATAAACAATAAAAGTTATGAGGGTTTTTATATTGATCAAGAATGTATGAAGTTTGTATTTTAGCCGGTCTGCGTCACACATAAACAATAGAAGTTATGAGGGTTTTTATATTGATCAAGAATGTATGAAGTTTGTATTTTATCCGCTCTGCATTACATCAACAGTTGTAAGGCATTTCAATATATATTAAGGTAATTCACATCAACAACTGTAAGGCATTTCAGTATATATTAAGGTAATTCACATCAACAACTGTAAGGCATTTCAATATTTATTAAGGTAATTCACATCAGCAATTATCAGGGATTTCATAACGCAGGTAAAAACTAATAACCACAGAAAGCAATAAACCACAGAGATTTATGGACAGAAGTAAGAGATGTCACAGAGCTTTATAGATAGAAGTAAGAGATGTCACAGAGCTTTATGGACAGAAGTAAGAGATGTCACAGAGCTTTATAGATAAAAGTAAGAGGTGATACTCAACAACTGTAAGACATTTCAGCATATATTAAGGTAATTCACATCAACAATTGTAAGGCAGTTCAATATATAATAAGGTCATTCACATCAACAACTGTAAGGCATTTCAGTATATATTAAGGTAATTTACATCAACAATTGTAAGGCATTTCAGTATATATTAAAGTAATTCACATCAATATTGTAAGGCATTTCAGTATATATTAAGGTAATTCACATCAACAACTGTAAGGCATTTCAGTATATATTAAGGTAATTTACATCAACAATTGTAAGGCATTTCAGTGTATATTAAGGTAATTCAACAACTGTAAGGCATTTCAATATATATTAAGGTAATTCACATCAATATTGTAAGACATTTCAGTATATATTAAAGTAATTCACATCAACAATTGTAAGGCATTTCAGTATATATTAAGGTAATTCACACATGTGAATTACCTTAATATATATTGAAATGATTAAAGTCTAAATTGACGTAGATCATCACTTTTAATATTTCAATCCTGTTAAGACAATTCTTGTGATACATACCAAGACGTGAACTGAATCTTCTGTGAGAAAGGGCTGCAGATTCCGGAGAAAAGAAGTCGAGAATATGCCACAAATCTTTATTTCAGTGAATATATTCCGAGTTGAACTTGAGGTGCTTCATCAAAGTTCTGTCCATCCTTTTAATTCAGCCTGAAAAAAAAATAATAAAAGAAAACTTTTGGCAAAATATTCCAAAGAAGATATGTCGACGTTTATTTGTAATACTTACTTTAATAGTTTAGTATGTTTTGTTTATTATTTCTTAATGAAATTACCCACTTCAGAGTTCTGCTAATGTTTACAAAACAAGCATGGTAACACTGATATTAATTGCATCCATATTCTACCCTTGAACAGACGATGAATTTTGCAAAATTTACTCTGTACCAAGTGTCTTAGTAATTGAAAACCTGAAATACATAATTAATTGTCTGTTCTTCTGTTACAATTTGTTAAAATATGTACATAATTTAGTATTGAATAAATCCTTATTTGAAGGTCCTTATTTGTTATTTTCAACATCAGAGACTTCATCTTCCAATTTTTACTTCACTGACAATTTAAATTATTTACAAGTACCTCTTAAAAAATTGTTTCTTACAAACCATGGTTTGCTTAGAAATATCTATCATATCAGACCTCTTACGATATAAACAACGAATACAGTAACCACAGCTGTTCATTTTTCAAAGCATTATGTATCTTCCTAAAACACATATATCGTAATACAATTAGTTTCACTTATTATCTCTATTTTTTTCCTTTTCTATTTGTTTCTACACTCTGTATATTCAGTCTCTCTTAAGAGAGATAACATAAGCCTTTTATTCTTTGAATATAATCATTTTTTTTTTTACCGACAGTAAGTTCCTTTAATCCAATTGTTCGGAGTCTATTTTCACTTGGTTCTCGAGTTTGATATAATTGTCAAAGTTTCCTATGCTGGTCTCTGCTAAATACGTTTCAACCAGTTATATTCACTCAGGAACAAACCGAACGTACTTGAAATAATCTCGTCAAACGGTTTCTTTCTACTTCTTAATGAACTGGAATTAACTTATGATAACATATAAGTGTAAAATAAGCAGACAAAGGTACATGGAAGAAAATAAAAACTATATGTTTTATCTTTGCTACGTATCATATAATTATTTATACATAAAAGATGTGTTCTCAGAACGTTTTGACAAAGAGAATATTTAATGAATTTCAGTCTCAAGAATTCGGAACAAGTTATAGATATTGATATTTAGCGCTTATTTTATCTTTCTTAATGAAATTGTATTCATTTTGATGCAGTCCCTTAAAAGTTAATTGCCTTGGATGGCGTGGTAACATACTATCGAGTGCAGATTCTCCCATAAATGAAAACCAATTTTTAATCAACCTTTAATATTAATACATAAAATGTGACAGTCAATCCCACTTTTCGCTGGTAAGAGCAGCCCAAGAGTTTGTGGTGGGTGGTGATAACTAGCTGCTTTCCCTCCAGTTTATCACTTCGAAATCAGGGGCGGGTAGTCCTCTAGTGGCGAAATTCTAAGATCACACAATAAACATTTGGGAAGAGAGCCTAGTCACGAAATTTTTACACTACAAGTTTTCTAGTTTCACTGTATTTATATATGTATGCCCATATATTTCTTTAATCTAACCTGTTTAGTGCTGACCCACCGTCACGGAAAGCCAAATTCGATCGTTAACAAGTTTTTTTATTACTCAAAATTCTTTAATTAAAACACGATCTATATGTGTTCAGTCAAGTGTATTGATAACGGTCACACACACGACCGAAACGCTAAGCGAACAAAATATTATTCGTTTAACCTATTGTAGCAGCTGGGTCCATATTTAACCCACTGTAGCAGCTGGTTCTGTATTTAACTCATTCTAACAGCTGGCCTATATTTAACCCACTGTATCAGCTGGTTCTGTATTTAACTCATTCTAACAGTTGGCCTATATTTAACCCACTGTAGCAGCTGGTTCTGTATTTAACCCATTGTAGCAGCTGGTTCTCTATTTGACCCACTGTAACAGCTGGTTCTCTATTTGACCCACTGTAGCAGTTGGTTCTATAGTTAACCCCCCCCCCCCGTAGCAGATGGGTCTATAACATTACTTAGAGAGATTTTCTAAAATTTTAGTTCAGTCAAATATAAAACACACAAATGCAGTTCACCACAAGGAAATAATTGAATGGTGCAGCGTCATGTTGACAAAAATCTCACTCTGGACTTTGGGTGCGTCATAAGAGTGACAGTTAAACCCCTATATTCGATTAGAATTTTAAAACAAATGCGGCGTAGTTTTTAAAGAATGACTTTAGGAATGAAAGTTTATTTTTAAACTAGCTGGAGTACCCGTCCCCTGGACGGAAGTTATGTAAATTCATGATTAATGAAAGGTTATTTTAGGTTACTTCCCTTATACGTAATTGTAAAAAACGCAAAAATGCTCATAAAAACTGCAAAACATGAAACGTGACACCGCAAATTTACAGGTATCTAAGCATGGACAAACCTTCATGCCAAATTTGGTGAAGATCCACTAACAAGGGGCGAAGTAGAGGTAAAAAAACGCGAAAACGCCGTAAAAACCCAAAACGTACAAAACTGAAAATTTGTATGTCGTTAAAAAAAAAGACGGTAATTATATTTTATATGTTATTTTGAGAAACTTACTCATTCAAAATGTAAATCACTCTTCTAGTATTTTTTGTTTGTATATTTGCTTAAAACAAAACAAACTTATGTCAACGTTTTCTGCGTATTTACCTAAATATAAAGCACAATTGTGCGAATATTTTCTGTTTATCCGAACGTATATCACACTTGTGCCAATGTTTTCTGTTTATCTGAACGTATATCATACTTGTGCCAATATTTTCTGTTTATCTGAATGTATATTACACTTGAGCCGTTGTTTTCTGTTTATCTGATGAAAGTATATCACACTTGTGCCAATGTTTTCTGTTTATCTGATGAAAGTATATCACGCTTGTAATAATATTTTCTGTTTATTTCTGTGAACATATACTCACTTATTCGAATACTTCGTGCGGAGGATATCTCCGATATACAGCAAAAAGTCAATTGTCAGAAACCTGCCTTAGTGTCAAAAATGGGACTAAGTCTATTTTCAGAGTCAATATTTGAACTTGAGGGGTCGATAGAGACTTACTTTCTAATAACGTAGCACAGATACGACCGCACTTTCTTAGTAAGAGGATGTCGGATGAAGTGTCTGTTACACGGATTTGGAGAGATCTGTGTTTGCGTGCGGATGCAATTGGTAGTTTACAGAAAACGCGAAACACTTGCATTGTACATGTTTTGTTTTCATTGACAGTGTACGTGTGCGTGTTTTCAGAGAAGACTCCAAAATGTTTTGTTTTCATTGACAGTGTACATGTGCGTATTTTCAGAGAAGACTCCAAAACATTTTGTTTGTTAAGAATGTACTACATATTCATATTACCTCTAGTTTAATGTTTTAGATGAAATAATGTAAATAATAAATTACGTTTATTTCTCTACATATCTACATAAATAGACGAGTTTGCGAATTTCTGCTTTTTTTTAACAGAAACGTTTGGCGCAATTATCACAAAGTTCAGTTGTTAAGATGAGTGCTTTGGGAAATTAAACACACAAACAACAACAATAATACAAAAACAAAACCACCAGTTCGAAGTTATCAACAGTTTCATAACTGTTAACTAATTACATGCTATGAAACGAAAAATTAGCTAGGAAAAAATATAACGTCATTATTTGTTCACATTTTACCAAAGTTATTAAGTTAACGAATGGAATACATTAAGACAGCGGTTGACTTTGAAGCTTAAACATCCATCTATTGTTTCTCAAAACAAAATTCAGTAACTTTTTTTTTCCCCTGTAAGAACTATCTTTGTGGAATAAGGGGGAGTTCGATTTGTTTTGAATTTCACGTATCCTAATTTAAAAGTGTTTGTTTGTTTTTGAATTTCGCGCAAAGCTACACGAGGGCTATCTGCGCTAGCCGTCCCTAATTTAGCAGTGTAAGACTAGAGGGAAGGCAGCTAGTCATCATCACCCACCGCCAACTCTTGGGGCTACTCTTTTAGCAACTAATAGTGGGATTGACCGTC